GTATATTATACTGGATTGCGGTAGAGAAGTCCCTCAAGGCGATAGCTATCCATTATTTTACCCAACACTTAGAGTTTCAAGATGAATAGCATGTGGGATGATCGGTCATCCTCTCTCACGCCCTCGAGCTCCAAAGAAATCACACGTGCTTCCATTCACTAGGATTGAGAATTTGACCACTGATATGCATAACTTGATCCCTTTCTTTTCTCCACCTATCCGAGTCATATCTTCACATTTTATATCCAGGAACTCCCAATTCACATGATTATAGGCCCTTTCAAGGTTTAGTTAGAACAAGATTCTCGACTTTCCCACTTCCTTCTGGGATCGACCACTTCGTTTGCCACCAAGAAGCTTCTAGGATCTGTCTTCTATCCATGAACACATTCTGAGAGGTGGAGTCTTATCTTGTCCAACACCTTCTTTGATCTAGTTGAAAACACTTTAGAGATTATCTTATTGATGCTCCTGCTGGACTTATAGGCGGCATGTAATGATTGGTGTTCATTGCTCCTTTTTTTGGTAGGATGACGTTAAAGGATGTGTTGAGGCTTCTTCAAAATTTGGAGTCTCGTAAAATCAGTATTGGCAAAGGCTCATTTAAGGCGCGCTTAAGCCTGAAAGCTCAAAAAAGCCTAGGGGTATGCGCTTCGCCACTTAGACTGCGCTTCAATGTAGGCAAAGTAGCAAGGCGCGCACCTCATTGCCCATAAGTTCGATGTTGATAGAGCGGTAACAAAAATATAATTGGCAAAAAGNATATATTTTGTTGCTTCGTTGTGCCTTTTTAAACCAAAACCCACGCTTTAATTGCGCTTTGCACTTAAAGCTTTGATAGACCCGGAGTGCTTTTTAACGCTTTTCTCCCTTGACAACACTGCCTAAAATGCAACAATGGTTTTCATAACCTTTGCTTTGGCAGTCGAATGCTTTTGGAAGAACGCTAGATGAATCCATCTTGTCCGGATCCATAATACTTGCACGATTCTCTGCTGCCTCCCTCATCTCGTCTTCCTCAATCTCCTTGTCCAACTACTCCCTCATATCATGTCCTATTTTTTTTTGATAACCGTATTGTCCGAGCCAACTTGCGCACACCTCGACTAATTCCACGAGGTACTTGCCACCTCCCACCAGCAACATGTACTAGGTAACTCTATCCAAGCCTGGGAAGAAATCACCTAGTATTTTTTGCCTCCTGGTATTTGAACCTAAGACCTCATGGTTCTCACCCACTTCATTGACCACTAGGCCACACCCTTGGATGCTCATGTCATGTCCTATTTGATTGAACAATAGCCTTTTAAACTTAGCTTTCCAACTCACCTCATCTTTATACTAGCATGCGCTATCACTCCTCTTATCTCTCCTCATATTGATATAGCCCTCTATCCTCTTCCAAAGACTTGAAGTTTAGCCTCCTATTCACCACTGCTGCCTATGAAGAATCTTGTATCAGTCTCCTCCAACCACAAAGCACTCGATCCCCTTTCCCCCTCTCAACTTCCACCAGCTCATAAACTCTCGCATCTTCACCTCTACCCTTCCAAGATTCTCCCTATTCCACACCTGTATCTGTCCTTTCGGCATTTTTCCAACTTCTTTTGGATTTTGAATGATGATGTGCCTGTGACTGCAATCCAATTCCACCAGTACTGCTACTCTATTTACGAGATCTTGTCGGAAGATAAATACACGTTTATACTGTTTTCTTGAAATTGTTAGAACGGCAACACCAGAGTCAAGCTCCGTTACAAACTTTACCAATTGAATATTCTTGTTCCTCTGTTTCATGGTGTCTGTAAAAGACTGATCGTAGACCGATCTCTAGTTGCGTCCTTTTTTTAATTGGTGTCCCCGAAGGGGCCTGGTTGGTTCCTTTCAGATTTGCTGATTCCTTCACCTTGATCTTCTATTAAGGTACGTGTCTTTGCTGGTGCCTTCTAATTTTTTTCAGAAGGATATGCAGTAGAGGAGAATGCATCACATGCTTTCAGTAGGAATAAACAATCATCCTATCTAGCATCATAGCATCCTCCAAGATGAAGAGTTAGGATCACTGTCTCTTATGATATACCTGATGACTTTCATGAAGAGAGGAACTGATCTTGAGGACTATCACGGTCGGTCAAGCTAGTAAAAATTTGGACCATCTGAATATGTATAGTCAAAAAATGAAAGAACAGGCATTCTTTCAAGGTCAATGGTTAGTCTCTGCCTCATGTTCTCGAATCTGAAAGGGGCGTGCGTGCTTCTTCCTCCGCTACCATCTAGCATGATGGGTTAATGGTCCTCGATCTACACCTTGACTGGGGAATCTGTGGTATGTTCAGTACCATTTCCTTCCAAGAGGTTGATACCAAGAATCTTCAACTCTTGTTTATGATGTCGAGCCTTCAGCCGTGGCCCATATGTAACTAGCTTCTGTCAAAGGATCATAGTATGGTTTACTTAGTATTTTTAGGTTGAGAAGACAGGCAGTCTGACCTTTTCCTTCTTGTGGATTTATTAGTCTTGTGATGCTCTTCCCTGAGAACTGGTATTTCTGTGTGTTGTTTAGCTAATTATGACTGAGCCAACCAATGAGGTCTTATCTCCCCCACCCCTCTCATTTCAATCCTTCCACGCTTTCAAATTGCATGCACACAGTTTGTTGTGCTTTGTTTTTTTAAGTTGTCAAGACAGATAATGTAACCTTAATGATGATAGTAACTACATGAGAATCATTTGCTCTTGCATATTGTAGGTGCTCCCTAGATGGGTTGTCTACCATGAGCTGGTCCTGACAACTAAGGAGTACATGCGGCAGGTTAGTCCACCTCTCCTTTATCTCTCTTCTTTTTGTTTCGTAGCAGGGTTGTTATTGCATGTGCTTAATCATTACAGAGATTGTAATTGAGGGTTTTCCTGGCAGGCAACTGAACTGAAACCCGAATGGCTTGTAGAAATAGCTCCTCACTACTATCAGTTGAAAGATGTTGAAGACGGTAAGCGTTCTTACTCTCTTTTGTGTTATTTTCATTTTTTGGTTTCTGTTTGTCTGGCTGCTTTATTGGTGCCTCACAGCTAGACTACATCCCATCTCCTGGTTGAGGGACTTGCAATCCAACATGAACATTTGGTTTTAGGCAAGGGACTAGTTGCATTCAGCTTTGTTTTCAATAAAATATTGATATTTCCATTCGGAGGAGGGTAGGATTGCACTTGTTGTTTCATAATTAAAAAAAAACCTTTTACAAGAGGGGTCATATAACTTTTTTAATCATTGCCTTCTGTAGTCCCAACTTCAAGTGGCGTGTGACTGCAGAAAAGTAAAATGAAACCCCTTACTTTTGCCAGCCATATGCTACTGCTGGAAGGATATCTTATAAGCTGCGTCTAGTTTCATTTATTAGAGAATTAGATCCAACGAGCCTTGCTGAAATGGAGTCATCTAAGGGTGGAGACATTGCTATTTAGTTTAAAATGCTTTTCTGCTTGATGCATATTAGGGGCCAAAATATCCAAAGTATAATCCTCATCCGCTTGATGCCTATTAGGACCAAACTGTTTAATGTTGAGGCCATTAGTTATCATATTTTTTTGGAGTTTGGCAATTGGATTTCATTCCACAAAATATGATGTCGTTCCAGTTGCTTTATTTAAATAACGTAATATTGTTGTGTTTATATGCCTTCTGCAGCTAGCTCAAAGAAAATGCCTCGCGGAAGTGGCCTTGTATCTTAGGATCAACTCCTATTTTTGCAAAAGAAAAGAGCATTGTCAAGAGAGTGGTTTATGCTATGAAAATCTGCTCGTTATACTGCTAGGTAGGACTCTGCTAACTGAAGAAGTCCATGGACATTAACTGAGATGATTAGATAACTGTATATATGATTTTTGTAAATTCACGGCTGTAATTTTTTGTGCGTGCGTCTTTTTGATGCATTTGTTGTATGAGGGTGCTCAACTGTCTGATTAATGAGCTGCGCCTCCTTTTAGTGATTGATACTGTGTATTAGTTATGTAGTATATAAATTGTGGTTAATCCATTTGTTTTATACGATGGGCTTGCTATGACGAGTTAACAAAAGAAAATAGTGGTGATTACAGAAGAAAACTATTCTTGTTATGCGCTAGTACTTTAAATTCAACAAAGCTCTCTAATTCCTATACTGCTTTTGTTTATATTAAGATGTTTGAGGGGACACGAAGGGTAAAGCAATTTGATACTATGTATAAGTCTGGTCATAAATTAGCTCACTGCCCTTATTACGCTAGTTGATAACTTCATTTCACCCTTTTTTTTCCCGACTGTAACTTCATTTTCGTGTTGTCCCATGTTATTTTTATCATATTTTTAAACAACATTTCCTTCTCGCCAGTGCTCTAGATCTTGTAATTTATGCTAAAATTTCGTTGAAGATTGATATTTCTTCTTAGAATGTCATTAAGAGAAGATAATATTATGTATTTGGAAGTGTCATTTGGTTAGGGGATGTTATAACGATCTAAATTAGAAAGATATGGAGTTGTTATTATTGACTTTTTGCTAATATTATTGCATTCCGGAATAGGGATAAAATTTGCGTACATACTACCTACCCCAGATCCCACTTGAGTAATTTCAGTGGGTTGTTGTATTCTTCATGTTGATAATGAGCTCGACAATAGTCGTGCTCGCTCTATGAACGAAAAGGTCCAACTATCACAAATGTCTTAAAACTATTATTCAACGTTGAGCAAGATGGCTCCACCACTGAAGAGATAGAGCTTTTCTTCTGTCTTATATTTAATGAATCGTATAAAATATGAAAATGAATTACATGGCACCAATATTTTTTTAATATAGGAAAAGCTTATTGATATAAATAAATATAGTTATTGGTGTACACCGTGAAATTGACAATTTTATGCTTGACATAAACCAAACTTATCTTTTTTGGTGGGTTAATAAAATAAAATAAAAGGGAAAAAGGGGAAGATTTTGGAGGAGCGACGTCGTCCTGACTCCTGAGATACAAGTGAAAAACCCCTATCAAAACCCCTTAGGTGGCCCAGTTCTCTTGCTCTTCCGATTCGATTGCAGTGCAGAGCAAAGCAGAGAGAGACGCAAAAATTTACATATATGATTCGTCAGACTTTCTGTTCAAACTCAGCATCAAACTCTCGTCGCTGGATTTCTTCGACAACACAACTTCATGGCTCCTCTTGGATGGACAAGATTAAAGGTGCATTCGCCGGCTGTCAAAAGACCTCCTCTGAACCTGAATTACCCACCTCTCAGTCATTCACTCTCCTTCGTAAGTATTTGTAATACACTGACAGCATATATAGTAATATCCTTTATTGTGTTGTCTGAGTTTACTCTTCCTATTTGATGGGATGTTTTAGGATTTGCGGACGAATTGAGCAAAGCGAGGAAATTGGGGACTCTGAAGCAGTACATTGTAGGGCGAAGTAGCGAAGCTACATTTGCTGATGCTTTTGAGAAGCAAGAATCGATTATCAGATATCTTGGTGCTTTGGATCCCACTGGAGAGGTTTTCCCCTCATTTTCCTTTTCTCTATAGCGCTTTTCTCTTTAACTTGTGATTTAGGGGGGTTTAACAACCTGAAGATTGAAACAATTTATGTTACAACCGTAGTGTTTACAAAGTCTGAACTTTTGATGGATTTCATAGATTCCCTGCAGTGGGAAAAGGAATTCAAAGTCCTTTTTATGTAAAATATTGTGCACCTCTTACTGCAGTTAAATGAAAATTTCACATAACTTAACCCAAAAGAAATAAAATTATAAAATTCTTTTCGGGACGAATAAAATATATTTGTAAACTAATGCGAAAGACAATCTTAGAAAGTTAGTATTCATGTGTCGGAGAGATGGAAGAAACTGTTATCGTGAAAAGACTTGGATAACCTTTTGAAGCCCTTTCTGTCGTTAATTCTTTATTTTTTAAAATAGAATCTTCAAACAATTCAAAAGCAAGAGGCAGCAAAACATTGCAAGTGCACAATAGCTGATGTTGAGAATACATTGGCAAAGTTTACTTGGGCAAAAGAAGCACAAACGAAACTTGAGAAGATGAAGGAAGAAGGGAAGCCAATGCCAAAGAACATGGCTGAGGTACTGTATATTGCATTTAAGATTGCTGCTCTATGGCATATTTTCACTCTTTGTTTTACTCCCTCCATTCTATTTTATGTGACACTTTCTTTTTTAGGATGTTCCAAAAAGATTGGTGAATTATCTATACCTGGAAACTATTAAATGTTAAAATATCATTCTACCTTTAATAAAATGATTTGTTTGGAGTCCACTTGATATAAAATCTGATGTTTTTATCAGGAGAGAGAAAGATGAAAGGACGCATGGAACTCTTATCTCTAATTTAATTGTCTGTAGTAAGGACAATTTTGGTACTTTGCGTAATAATTAGCTTATGTGACAAAAGTTTTCTTTTATTTCTTAAAATCCATGTCCCGTCAAATTTCTTTACATAAAATGGGAATGAGGGTATTATAGTTTTTTTAATTTCTTAAATCTTCTATATACCGTATTAGGTTTTCTGGTTGTTTGATTCTTTCACTTTCTGGTGAGATTTTTGGTTGCATTGTGGAGAGATGCATATTCTTTGTGCATTCTAAGAAAAGAAATTTTCTGTTATAGATGCCAGTAACGTGGGTGCATGTGTATCATTATGAAGTGTGTACGGGTTTGTTTCTCTGGTCCATTCATGATTCAATAGTTATGGGTTGTGGTGGAAATTCAATAGCACTTAAGGTCCTCATCCAAATAATTGGTTCTGCACGGAGTCTTCAGAATATGAGAAAAGAACGCATACAATATGTTCCAGTATTGGTGCTTCCTTTTTCTGTGGTTATATGAAGTTGACTTATATTGGGTTCTTCTAATATTAGGTTCAAAAGTTGATGGGTTCATCCCCGATGGATGTTGCACGATCGAACTTGGCTAAGAGTGGGCATATTAGTAGGAATGCATTCTGTCCTTGTGGTTCCAAGAAGAGATACAAAAGGTACTTCTGCTTTTCTTATTGTTAAACATGAATGGCTATTTCTGAATGTTTGAATTCCTTAGAGCAGGAAGAGAAATGAGACATGTGTTTATTAGATTGCGCTATTGGTTGCCAATGTTCGTGTCTTCTCGCCGTGTACTGTAAAGACTACCAAACTTTTTTCTTCCTTCTCCTTTTGCCATCTCTATTGACCAGTCCGTATTCCACAGGCGGTGTTAGGTGATTATCAAATGAAATGTCATATGTGATGCAAGAAACATTGACATTTCTGTTTCCATGATCTATAGAATCCATACATAGAGTGGGAGTAGATTATTAATCATGTTTGATAGGAGTTTGCAGATTCAACGTTTGCTTGGTTTCTGTCAGAGGTGATTTATGGTTTACTAACATTCCAATGTCATGATGTCACATCATTGACGCTGATCATCTAAGTCGTGGGTTGTTTCATCCTCAGAAACCTTGACCTATTTTTTTTTTCCCTGGGGCTTTTTGAGGGTGGGGGATGAGTTTCTGAGGCTCTTTAAACTGTTCATCTACATAAATGGCTGCAAACCATCCATGAATATGTTTGCTGGTATCTACTATGATAAATTGTTAAATTTGTCCCCCGTTATACTATTGGACCATAAAACTCCCTGCCGTCTTACTATTCGAACACATATACCCCTTCTTTGACGGAGGGGACACGTGACACGTATCCAAGTCTCTTGGTATATCTGGTCTAAAATTAAACTTGACCCGCTCCATTACCCAAGACCTATAACCTAACCCTCTTCTTCTTCCACCTTATCCCCCTCCATTCCTTTCTTCTTCCACGACCACCTCCCCCTACACTCGCCGTCACTGCCAAATAAGATTGGAAGTATAGTGGAGATCTGAGACACCCCATATGGTGCTACTCAGTTGGATCTTGAAATGCCGAAGAAGAGGTTGCTGCAATTCTGAGGCAATTTTATTGTCATTTTTACAAATAGGAAGTCCAAAATTTAAGGAACAAGCTTACATCTTATGGGAATTTCTGAATTAAGTTGAATCTTTCATTAGGACCTAGACTGAGTTTAGAAAAAAAACGTTGCTAATTTTGAAGATCAATGACCAAATGTCACTGCTGTGTTAATTTTTTTTGCTTGTGGTAACCAGAAATTGGCAACATTTAACATTATCTTCAAATGGTGATGAAAATGATTTTTGGTGATATATGTAAGAGTGAGTTGCAAAGGGGTTTATTAATAATGGTAAAATAGAGAGGAAAGAATTGTGTTCAAGGTAATTTCCAAATGGAGGTGCTGTAATTACCTAGGAACAGAACCAATTGGCTAATGTTGCTACACTTCCAGCTAGATTTTTGACCTCTTGTGTATATTTCTCCAGATCTGTGTATAAATATGTGTGTAGGTATAGAGAAAGGGGAAGAGAAAGTGCGAGGTGACAAATATAAAGATTCTCCATCGTTTCCGGCGAGTTCACTGGTAGAAATTCCGGCCATGGTTATAATAGTGAGAAGGAAAAGAGGAGAGAGAGATTAGAGAAGCAATGTGGGCGGACTTTGGGTCGGGCAATGTTTTTTTTGAAGTGAACCGGGTTAAAAGAAATGAGATGGGTCGATTTAATATGTGCCCAGATGTAAAAAGGACACGGATTGGTGCCACGTGTCCCCTTCGTCAAAGAAGGGGTATATGTGTTCGAATAGTAAGACGGCAGGGAGTTTTATGGTCCAATAGTATAAGGGGGGACAAATTTAAACAATTTATCATAGTAGAGGGACAGATCAGACCCTTTTCCGTTTTCTGTATGCTTGTATATTGGATATTCGAAATATTTTGTGCTCTGGAGCGATGAATATTGTTTATAGATTATGTATACAATTAGTGTTTAACCCTATATTATAATGTTATCTCCCCTCTCTCTGTCTCTCTCCAAAAGGAGCTCTGCTGTGGCTGTCTTTTTCCTCTTTTGCGTTAGCCCGCCCTCCCCCTTTTTTTCACGTGATACGAAGGACGTGCACGTCTGAGTTAACTCATTAGCCCATCAGCCACTGAATTTAAAAATTGTTAGAGCATAACCGACTGGCGTAGATGAGCTGCTTCCCGGAGATATCACCGCGGGATATTTGCCCAATCTCTGCTCCCAAGATCTAGGAGAAAAAAAGGGGGGGGGGGGGGG